AATATATTTTATTTTGGACTTGTCAGTATTTGTCAGAGTCAACGTCATATTTTTTAATTTGTTGGTTGTGTTGACTCCTGGTTGCAAAGAAATTGCCCCGTGGGGACACTATAGCCAATCTAAATCAATGCATCTTTAATATTATCTTCAGCTCTATGATGCTTGGGAGTTAAAATATTGTTCTCCTTGGTCATAGTGCAAAAAAAGCAATAGACTATAAATATATGAGGCTTAAACGTGACATATTAAGACATAAGACAGTTTAAAATATAGCTGTATAAATGGGCAATGGAACTGAATGAACGAGACGGCTCAATAAATAGATAAACAGATTTTGCTTTGGCTTGGTGTTATGATTCCAGTGCAGAGACGGGGGAAGCTTAGTCCTTTGTGCTATTTGCAGAACATTTGCCCAAAATTTCTTTGCACACTTGGAAATTCACTCATTCTGGCAGATTATTTGGGAGACATTAATCACTTTTTCCAAAGTCAGCCCCACCGGAATAGAGTGACTATCACTTTTCACTCTGCAAATCGCTGGTACAGGTTCACTGTGTCACAAAGCCCCGTGTGTTTTTTTTCATGGTAGATCTGAATGGCTCAGTATGTATGATGGCAGGGTGTCATCTGTCTCCTTTGGGCAGGTAGAGAGTCAGAGAGAGAACAACAGTATTTTGTAGCATGCTGTTCATTGTTTGTCTAATGTGTAATGTTTGTTATGTTAAGTTACGTTGCGTTATGTGATGTTCTATGTTATGTGATGTTCTATGTTATGTGATGTTCTATGTTATGGTAGAAAATATAGGTAGTAACCTTCCCTATATCTCCCTTCCCCTTAAATTATTGATAATCGTACAGGATGTTTTTGCCCCATGTAAGTAATTCCATTACACCGTCTTTAGCACTGTAATCCTGTCTGGTCTGTCATGCGTGTGGCACTGCAGGTCCAGGAGCAACATTATTTTGTTTCACTGCCTACTGTACATGACTCAGGTGATAATAAAGCTTTACTTGACTGGATAACTTTAATTGACAGACAAACAGAAAGACATGGAAAGGGAGCATAGAAGAGTAATACAGGAGAATGAAAGAGAAGCAGAGAGAGAGAGAGAGATGGATGGAGGAAGTGACTCAAGGAGAAGGAGAGAGTGGAAGATGGGTATTGAAAGAGGACAGAAAGAGGTGGACTCTAGGAGATAAAGAAAGAGAGAGGGAGAGTCACACAGAAGAGTGGACAGAAAAACAGAAAGGAAATGGGAAGGAGAGAGAGATAGTGTTTCACTTAGAAGAGCTTCACCAGGGGGTGTACTGTGAGCAGGGAGCTGTCAGCTTGCAGGATGCTGACAAGTCCAAGAATAAACTTCAGCAGTTCCTGTGCCGTCGGTCTGCAATAAGCTTCATTTTCCTCCAGCAGAGTCATTTCAGAACAAAGACAGATGACCGCATAATTCTGCCTGGATTGGACTGGATCACTGTTGAGTACCACCAGAAGTCTGATTTTAAAGTCCAAATGGGATTATGATATTACATTCCTCTGTTTTCATCTCCTGTCTTTACCTGCATGTCCCATTTCCATTGTGAAGTAAGTTGTCTCGAAAGGCTGGGAACGTCTCACCTACTTCTGTGAAAGTCACATTGCTTAGGGAGAAGGTTTCATCATGTTCTGCTGCAGTACAAATTTGTTGACTTTTCTAGATGCTTGCATTTAAATAATTGAATAAAGGTGTTGGGTGGCACGGTGGTGCAGTGGTTAGCACTGAAACCCCTGGGACCTGGGTTCAAGTCTCTGCCAGGCAGGGGTGGACATTTCAGGTCCAGAAAGTAAAATTCCAAACCAGGATTTTGTTTCAACCAACCAGTTGAGTACTCTCTGACTGTGACTCTTTATACTCAACTGAAATGTCCACCTCTGCTGCCAGGGTTCCCTGTTCAGGGTTCCATGTCGGCATGTTCTCCCCATGTTGTTGTGGGGTTCCCTCAAAGTACTTTGGTTTTCCCCAACAGTCTAAAAACATGTTGCGGCTGATTGGTTTACCAGATTACCTGTAGGTGTGTTTGTGTGAGTGAACAGTGTGTGAGTGTGCCCGGTGATGGGTTGGTGCCCCATCCTGGGTTGCTCCCATCCTCCAGACCGTAGCCTCTGGGATAGGCTCTAGACCCCCCACGACCCTGAATAGGATAAATGGTTTCAGATAATGGATAGATAAAAGTGTGCAAATAACTCCATTACTAAGTATGTTTGTGTATATATATACAGCGCACACACACAATACTTATTTGAATATTATGTGTATATTTTAATAATTACAAATAAAACAAAAAAGTAAAAGCAGCAGTTCGGTAGTATTACTTTTCTCATCCCTAATCAGATATCACAGACTCACTGATCGCTGGTAACGACAGTGATGCTGCTGCAGACTGATCGCTGTGAACGGCTCTCTGTGCCAAAGAGGGCGTAGCTGGTTACACACAAGGTTTGTGTAAGATCACAGTGATCATACAAGGCAACATGGAGGGTGCAGATTTTATACACAATGACATTACAGTAATGTTTCAACAGGGATTCGAACCAACAACCCTGTGGGACGTGCAGTTGCCTAATGTATAATTATGCCTTACCTGCTTTTGGTTACAATCAATATATGGATAATAAAAAATCTGTTTACACTTAATGTCTAAATGTTAAAATGTATGTAAATTGCAACAAAAAGAAAAATAATATATTAAAGGAACTCATATGAGATGATTCATTGGATTCATTGCAGTTTGCATGGGAAAAATAAGAGACTACGAACTCCAATAACAATGTCCTTTGCCACTTCATCCCCAAGCCCAGCTAGGCTTTGTGTTTCCAGGATGAAAACAGATTTATCTCTCTCTGAATGAATTAGATCAGGCTCATTCTAGAATTGGGGGGCAGTAATTGGCTCTTTACAGCCACCTGACCTCTTGCAAGCTGTTTACTCCCAGTCACATCCCAGCAGAAATCACAGCTTGGCATTTCTCTCTTTTTCTGGACATGAGCTCTTCGTCGCTGAGGCGTGAAAGACTGACCAGAGCAGCGTGGTGCAACCAAACAGGGTCATCGAACTCCAAAGTCATCTGCAAAACTCTGGACAGGTCCTGCGACCTCCCAAGTATCCTTAACAAAGTCATATATTTGTGTCAGGAGCCGAAAACAAGCAGCATCTGTGTTGCTAAAGCTGAGTTTGCCAGCAGACCTTAAAAAACACATTTACACACATGTGGTCTTGCAGTCCTTGCCCATCCTGGATTTTTCCCGCTACTTGCACATTTCTTAAAGAGATTCTTTCCAATTTGACTGAAAAACATTAAATAATCGCAACTCCTGCTAAACATTCAAGTCAACCAAGCTGCACCCTATTATGAACTGATTGTGACTGTAGGAACACATTGCTGCCTATGGAGTTGGCGAATTGCTCTCAGATAAGTTGCTCCACTGGGTTTCATAATCAAGACAAAGGGCTCCCAAATTCACTAGTGGCTGTTTGTTTTTGTTTTTTTTAGATTTCTATGTTATAATCTGACACTAGAAACAAAGCTGTCCTTCACTCACTCTGGGCTGCCTGATTTGGCTTCATAACCTCATGGTTTTGGTTAAGAAATCAGAAATAAGGGGCACCTGGGCATGAACCTTTCTAGTCCCCCCTTCCCAGCCATGTGCCACTTAATCTATTCCTCTGGGCTGTCCAGTGTAAGACGAAACTACAACAAAATGACCTGCAATCACAGTTGAGCTCACAATGACAGGCACTTGGTTTAATGTTGAAAGCATTACAACCATGCTAACTAGCTAGTTAGCCTTTTCCTGCATAGGGTTTCCCTGGGTCAACAGCAGGGGCTAAATTCGTCTAGTATAAATGTGCCATTAGGGAGTGTCTACCTAGCATTTCTATATTTATCAGAGGATTTCATCTAAGAATGGTTGCAGACTGTCTTCAAAATGGTGAACAGGGATTGTCCCCCCCCCCAGGCCCCAAAACCTACATCTTGTGCTAACACTGTCCTAAGCCCTGGGCCACTAAGAACTAGCACTGCATAGGTACTCCATATAAAAATGAATGCTAGTGGTCTTCATAAATGGGGGACAGCGCTTGCCCCCCCCCCCCAAGGTTATTGAACAAGTCTCGGGGGCCCCCAAAAACAACATTTGACCTGTGGCCCTAAGCCATATATATATATATATATATAGACACACACACACACACACACACACACACACACACAGAGTAAAACACTTCAGCACTTCAGAACACCTGAAGGGTTTAACTCATGAACTTAAAATGAAGCACCCAATATAATATTTAGCACCGAAGGGACGATCGTGGACATGGATTGAAGGTGAGGAGCAAAGATCTGCTTTAGGTCCATATGAATCGTACCATTATGTCCCACCCCCATGTTCGAGTGTCAGACCACTGCTCTTTGGCACTGGGATTTGAATGAAAGGTGATCAGCCCTTTACCAGTCTGCGAGTCGATTTTATTACCCTCCTCTGAAGTACCCAGCCTGCCCACGCCAAGCTCTTAAGCAGCATCATCTCTGGAGACTTGAGAATTTTTACACACTCGTGAGGTACAGAGCTAAGAGGTTTTAGTGAGACTGTGAAAAACTTTCAGAGTGCAGTTCTGAGAGGCATGATTGTCATCATCTCCACGTGCGACCAGGGGCAGTGTTTTCCACTAGTCAACCCACGCATTCGCGTACGGCTCGCTGGGGTTAGGGGGCCCCCTGTTGGTCAGAAATAGTCACTACACTAGGAGGAACAGGAACTTTTTGAATCGGGTCCCAAAAACGACAAACTGTGTGTGCAACTTCAGGGCCTTAGCTTAAAGGTCTTTCAGAGATCCATCTGAAAATGACCCACCCTCCGTGACTTCATAGGTGAGGGGTGGTGTGGGGGCGGGGTTAGTGGTGTAGGCAGGTTGCTCAGTCGCGCCCCCCTAGGTGAGTGCCCATAGGACTGAACGGTCCCTGTTTCCTCTATTTGCTATACTTAGTGCGCTGAATCTCTAGAGCATTTCCACACTTCTTGATTTCTCCTGGTCAGCCTGTTTATAATTCCAGGTGTCTCCCTAAAACTTCTAGCGAGCACAACCGTCCTTTCCATTCATTACCTTTGTATCTTATCACTTCTCCTCACATATTCCCACATCGCTCCCACCTCCAGCCCAGGCAGTTTCTCAAATTTATTAAATTCCAGCACGCCGGATTCACCTAACGAAGGGCTGGTCCTGGATCAGCAGATCAAGGTCTCGATCTGCGATTCGCCGAAAGAGGAGGAAGATAAACAGGTGGGAACGTGACGAGGAGGGCTTCAGCCGACGCTCTAATCTTGCGGGGGAATCACAGCAAAATCAGTAACATTAAGGAAGAGAGCGGTCTGCAAATACACCGATGCGGTATAGACTCAAGGAAGCACTGTGATCGTCAGCACTGTCGATGTTAAATCAAACGAAAAGTTTGCACTACTAAAATGTACAAAGAACGTCTGCTACATATAACTGTTCGTTATTACTACTTGGGTGGTCCAAGGTAGTGTGTATGCAATTGAGTTAGTCTGTAGCAATTCTGAAAAGTACATTTATTTATTTATTTATTTATTTATTTATTTATTTATTTATGTAGGCTATATATAGGTCTAATGATCATTTAAAATTACAAACTATCCTTTAAGAGTTCTGCCTTCTTCTTCATGGCTCTGTATAAGTCTGTATCTTTTTATGATTTTTAGGTATATGCCCTCGTTGCCGTGATCAAGAGAACACAAGAATTCAGTTCGGATAAGATAAGAATCCGTTCATTGCCGACCCCCACCCGCCCACTAAGTCACACGCACGCATGCACAAAACCCATCCCGTGCGCACGGCAGCTCCTTTAAAAAGCAAGCGGGATTTATTCATTCAGCAGAAGGAGAAGGGCGACAGGGATAAGGAGGAGGTACCGAGGTGTCCGCCAAATACCCGGGCATCACCGACACCGGCGACGGAAGCGAAGCTACTAAATGTTCACCGTTGACCACCCGGCGTCGCCACGGAGGTGGACAGCCCGCTGACTCCCACATTGCCCGCGGGAAGACGAGCAGACGAAGAGGTGGGGACCGGGCACCTGGCGCAGGACGGGATGGCGAGAGAGACCAAAGGTAAATGTGAAGCAGAACAAGTGAGCAATCGTATCGCGCCCAGATGTGCTGCGCTCTAAGCATCTGTTGGAATGCGACGTTCATGCAGGGGGTTCCAGGGGCATGTATATCAGGCACGGAGTTTATCTCCCAGACAATAACACGTGTTACATTTTGTATAAAATCAACACGGCACGTTCACGTGTTGATATTGTCACTTGGACAATATCTTTCCCAAAGATGTGGACATAAAGGTGAACATCTCGCCCTTTGGCAGCAGAGACTGAAGAGACGCTTTTCATGACCGTCAGCTGTCTGACCCGCTGTAGCCTTCAAAACACGCATAACCTGATGCGCCTTTTCCCAAAGTGATCCCGGTATCTTTCGTGGGCATAACATCGTTTATATTTCGTGATCGCGGCAGCCCCTGTGGCTGTGGTGGCCATTCAGCCCTGGTGAGCACTATACTGGAAACACGGGCGGCAACATGCAGTCATTGAAATTAGTTACTTTTCATCAATTCCCCCGTTTTCGCCCACTCCGTCAGACACCGCCACACGTAAATACAAAATGGCAAATGTCACTCTCTGAAACCCCGCTGAGTTGTACATTATAAATCAAACTCTGCTGTATATAGGCTACGTCGAGGTTTCTTTTGGACCATCAGAGGGAAACTTCAAATGCCGAACTAAATTTGACTTTAGATTTATTCAGAGCCAAGGTCATGTGTCCGCATGTGCGTGTTTTTTTACGCTATATGACTTAATCTGCTGATAGGCTTTGTGTTAAAATTAAGACATTTAACACATGTATATTATTACAGCAGTACCCTGCGCTTCGCAAGCAGGGATGGCAAATTAGCCAACTAATAGCTCGTTAATTTATCCAATAATGTGGAGTGGGAATTGCTAATGTGTCCCTTTTGGTGAAATTAACGCGTTATTAAATTTATCTTCTTTGCCTAAAGCGTCGAGTTAGCGTGCAGAAATAGCAAAACCTGAAGGTCATGAAGCAAAATGTGTGTAAATGTGTTTTTTAAGGTCGAACACGTCCGACTGTGCCTACGGGTCCGAGTGGATGTTTTGAAAGGGGAATATAATTTTGAAAAGTAATCTCAGTAAGATTTGTGTAAAGATACGTTTAGGTTTATTACGCAGGTTATATTACGTTTATTCGATAGGTATAGCCTATATAGAGATGAAACGCATTTTTATTTTTTTGTTTGCTTATTTGTTAGGCGGCGGTGGGGGGGGGGGGGTACGTTTTTTATACTGAGTACCTGGAGCAAGTATTGAGACAAGGAATAAAGTGATAAAGTGCATAGAATTTGTCGCAAATCACCAGCATGGCTGAAACATCGGAAGTCCACAGCCATTTAATTGGGAAAAATGTTGATGGGGAAAGCAATGAAAATGTAAAAAAACTGGGATCCACACAGCAAGGAAATATAAATCGCTGTATTGCTTTTGAGCGAGATGAGCAGGGAGGCGTCCGATCGCGGCTGTGGGGGTGGGGTGGGGGGGGGGCGTTGGTTACTCACCTTTAGCATAAGAGGTCCGATCACAGCCTCTCCTCCACCTGGAACCCCAGAGCTTACGCAGGGAAGGGGATTTCTGGTGCTCTTGCAAATCGGCTCATTAACATAAAAAATTAACATTGGCTTGTGTGAAAGGACGCAGTAAATACGCTGTACCATAATCACTGTGTGATTCAGACAGACAGTCTCGTGCAGGTTTTATTCTGGTCGTGAAGATGCAGAAGTTTAAGAGGAGCAGAAATGAAGGCTCATCGCTGTATTTGAACAGACGGCTGTGGATGTGTGGTGACAGTCAACATCTCCTTGTCCGTCACATGTTTTACCAGGGTATGGTACCGTAGTGCGGACACCCTAACAAGGAGAAGACCGCAGCATTTTATAACTATTCCCGCATAGAGAAGCGGCTCTGCGTTTCCTTCAGATCAATCCCTGTACATACAAACAGCCACCAAAGCTGCCAACAGGATGTCTACACATGACTTACTTCCCCAGTGCTAAAAGGTTACTTAATTACTGTGCCACCTTTCCTTCTGTGATTAGCAACGTGCTATGTCTTGTGCTATATTTCAACTGCACTTTTTAAGCCTATATATTTACATTCACATAGTAACCATTCTGCACTCTATTCTGTGTTCAGTGACTTTTGATGTATGTTGTATATTTTATGTTTGGGAATTGTTCTGTATTGTATACTATCTGCTTGTGTCTACATGTGTCCTGTGCGGTATAGGCTACTTTAAGATGCGTATTTTGCTTTGTGTATTATTTACGTCCTGTTTCTATATTTAGTTTGCTGTTGTCACTCGATGGGTTAAACTGTACAAAAAATCCCACTGGGCCGGATTGCGCAGTAATATAGGATAATACACAACTTGAGGCACACAAATAACTTAGTGTCTCAGTTATTACTCAAGAATAAAGCATGAGCTAATGCAGTTCCTGCATGAAATACATGAACTGTCATGATTGATTACTGATGAATGAACATGGGATCAGTATGTAAATAACATGTATTACTGGTTAATTAATTAATACATGAAGTAAGTACTCCTACACTGTGTAGGTGTAGTAGAGAGACTGAGGAGAAAAGTGTGGGATCAGACCACTGTGTAGGTGGATGCCCCTGTTTCCCTGATTCAGCTGCTTTTTTTGAGTTGGCACTGCTTGAGGGTGACATTGTGCATATGTCAATGCCGATTATAATCAGAGGCAAACAGATGCTGGTCTGGGTGCTTATAAATACTCACAGTCCCAACCTGGAGCTCACGAGTGCACCGCACAGACGTAACCACATGTTACACACTGTTTCCCTCAGACCTCTGTGATGTTTGCATTTCAAAGGAAGAAGAAGCAGTGAGGAGGGCAGGGGGATAAAGCAAAGAGGGGAACTGCATCCTCTCTGAGTCACTAAGACTGAAGGTCCTGCAAGAGCAGCATGAGAAATTCTACTGAGTCACGCAGTAGGATTTATGAAACTTTGGACAATTATTTGTTGAAAGCTGTGCTATAAATCTATGAGCATTAGAGTCTGACTTACAAACCTTACTGGTTCGTGGTCCATATAAATGAACAAGCTTGTTTGATACGTTTTAACGGAAGCGGTCAAACTCCCACAACTTATTTTGTTCTCTTGTAGAATTTGATCATGGGAATTTTACTTGCACAAAAATGTTGAGGGTTGAATGAAAAATGATTGGTTCAGAGAGATAACCAATCATATTGTAGAAGAGGTAGGTCCAAGCAACTAGAAGAGGTAGGATCAACTAATCAGATGTCTTGGTCCTACCTCCTCTAGTTGCTTGGACCCACCTCCTCCTCAATCTGATTAGTTATCTCCCAGAACCAATCATTTTTCATTCTTCCCTCAGAATTTTTTTGTAAGTAGCATTGAAGCATTGAGCATTGAATACAGGTTAAGGAGGCGGGGCGGTAACCCCATGAAGGTCCTGCTGTTGTACCTTTGACCACAATGCTCCATGTGTTCAGTAAGTATGACTAGCAGGTCACACACTGGCCGAGGAGCTGGGCTTTAACACCAGTGACTGTATAACTGCTCAAGAGTGTAAATCACAGACTACATTTGATTAGCTTTAATCCATTGAATTAGGCCATGCGAGCAGTCACCTTCTCTCTAGTCATTCTGTCTCCATGGCGATCCACCAGATACCTCTCAGTGTGTATGAGGTCACGACTAAGACCCACTCCACCACGGATCATTCTGCTTAAAAGTTTGTTCTGGCACGTGGAACAATGAACCTTTGTTCAGCTGATAAAACTCTGGTGATAAGGGCTTCTATTTTTTACCTGAACATCAAGTAATTAGTTACTCACTTTACCTTAACCACCAGTATCCTTGTTCTCCTAACCAGTTAGCAAGGTTATTTATGTTAATGAAAAAAAGACTATTAGAAAATATATTAATAAATAAGAAAATTAAAATATTATGAAAACATTAAATATGAAAATATAAAAAAGTTAAAACTAGAACTAGAACAAAAATGATAAATATTGCTTCTCAAACTAACTGAAGTAAAATAAAACAAAGGTCAAATACTTTCCATTACCGTTATGAAATACTAATTAGCTTATTTAATGATTTGCTTATATTTAATTACCATTAATAGTGTCTGGAATATGTTCTGCTCATTTACAGGACATTAGTACATAACGTGCATTGTGTTTTCATTTGGATTCTTTAAAAATCAGACACATAAAACAGCTCTACATTTTTCAGTCTATCCCTAGAAGTTACTAAAACTTAAACTGAAATTAAAATATGTAAACACCAAATAGAAATACTGTATGTGTAAAATAAAAACTCATAAAGCACATTGGCAAATAAGTAAATAAGTAAAACTAAACTGGATTTCAAATGAAAATTGGAAAAATAAAAAATAAAACCTAAATTAAGAAACCATACTGACAGTGACCGGTAGGTAACTGTTAGTGCTTACAATAGCGTAGGAGAGAGTTTGATATTGGGGGGGGGACTAATAATATAAGGTCTATTTATAGGGGAGACGATCAAAGCCAAATTAAATATTGGGTACATGCCCCCCCTCCCCCGTCCCCTCTGGGTCCTACACCCCTGAGTGCTCCAGCTTCCCCCCCCCAGGAGGAAGCTCTGCAGCGGGGACACCCCCGCTGTCAGCGCGGAGCACCGGCCATATCCTCTCGCCTCCTGTGTGACACGTTACTGTGGAGAGACGGAGCTCGTCGCGGCGAACGGTGCTGGAAGACGCCCGCTGAGCCGGAGCTGAATCTCTCTGCAGCTGCTGTAATTTAGTCGACGCGTTTGTAAATCCCACACGGCTCAACCCGCTTCGCTACTTTTAAAGGCGACTTTTTCTCAAATTACCCAGGATGGGGAGAGCGATGGCTCTTTAGCCTCGGATTAGATGACTCAGTTCTCTTTTTTTGCACTCTCAATGATGATTATTCTTATTGGTTCTGGAACTTCTTAAAGCTCAGGGAAAAAGATACC